TACTATTACTACTACGACTCCGACTACTACTACTACTACAACTACTTCGACTACTACTACTACTACTACTACTACTACCACTACTACGACTGCTGCTACTACTACTACTACGACGACGACGACTACTACTAAGAACAACACGTTTGGAAGCTCTTTCTCCCAGGAAGTAGACTAGTGTGGGTTACCATGCACGCGAGAGTTTTGGTGAGTATCTTTCCATGAGGATTGCTATAGGAATCAGTTGTTGTGATTGTTGTCATGGTTGTAGTCGTGGTTTTAATAGTGATTGTAATCGTGATTTTAGTTGCGATTGTAGTCGTAATCGTCGTCGTGGTTGAGAGTCGCAATCGTAGTCACAATCTCAGTCGTAGTCGTAAGCGTCGTCGTCGTCGCGGCGGAGTTTCTTTGTTCCTTTATTGCTGGGCGGGCTGGGTAATGTTGGGGGTCTCTTTTGCTATTCCTTTTGCCCAAGGATGAATGCTCCCGAGTCAACTCTGTGCGACAGAGGAAGTTGAGCACGTGTGTAAGAGGGTTGCAATCTAGATCGACACATTCTTCGCTGAAGGCGCTGCTCACAATCTCCTCTTTCATCTCGTCGTCGTCGTCGTCGTTGCCGTGTGGCGGGTGCCGCGGATAAATATTTAGTTCCAAGTCTTGGTGGGGCCCGAGCCCGTCAACAAGGGCGTCGGAAAGATGATAATTTTTTGGAGTATCTGAGGGTCTGAATGCCGATCCAGGTCATCTCCACCACCACTGTGCCATTGCATCTCGGCCCCGCCAGCCCACCCTCCGACGTGGGGATACACCTTAGGCGATGCTTAAGAAAACTTAAGTTTTCGGCCAGAGTCTGGATTCTTCTTAACGTTTCAATGTAAATCTTAAGATTTTAATGGACATGTTGGTTTTTTTTCAAGTTCTGAGACTATGAATTTCTTAACCCATGATTTCTTAAGCATTTCGCAGGATGTAGGCCCCGCGAAGCCCGCAGGAACAGGCACACCTCCCCGCCGAGGTGGGCCGGCCGCCCAGCGGGGCCACGGCCATGCCGGCAGGGCCAGGGGTCGGCTCCACGACGCTCGGCTCAGGGAGGGCCGAGGCGGAGGCGGAACGAGGGGGGGGGGGGCGACCACGAGGGGGGTGAGGGTGAAAGGGGGGTGGATGTCATGGCGGGGGCCACGATATTTCCTCAGGTTTCATGGCGCCTCTCCTCACAGTCGGGGCCCTGAAGAAGGAAGCATTTTCGTTGGGGAGGGGCTCGGTGTTCCTTGATTGTTCTGCAGTTTGCCTTCGGTTTTCCTGAGGTTTCCCATGGGAAATCGAAGTTCAACTTATGGGACCAAGGGGCCTCGTTCCTTATTTGGAGTTCCTTAGGTCAACGCCCCCACTATATTTCATTACGTCCCTGCCTCCCCCGTGGGCCGCGCACGTGCCGCCGGCCATGATCTGCGCTCCCCCTCTTGGACGCCCCCCTTTCGGCCGCCCCTGAGCGGGGCAGCAGCGCCTGCCCGCTCTGACCAGGGCTTGCCGCCGGCGTCGCCGCGGGCGCGCTGCCCGCCCGACAGCGGCCGCTGCGGGTCTTGGACGGCGTGCGCTGCTGGGCGCCGCCCGTTTTCTCGCTCTCCATCCCCACCTCGGGCGGGCCGGCCCCTCGCCACCAGAGCGGGGAGTCAGAGCCCCGAATCATCAGGGGTAACCAGAGCGGGGAGTCAGAGCCCCGAATCATCAGGGGTAACTCGGGTCAGGGATAACTCGGGTTCGTTTTTCGGGATTCCGAACCCGAGTTACCCCGGACCCGAGTTACCCCGGATAACTCGGGCGTCCAGAGCCCCAAATCATCAGGGGTAACTCGGGTCAGGGCTAACTCGGGTTCGTTTTTCGGGAATCCAAACCCGAGTTACCCCGGACCCGAGTTACCCCGGATAACTCGGGCGCCCAAGGGAGGGGGGGGCAGGGGCAGATGGCGGGGCAGTGCGAAGGCGAGGGCCGCCACGAGCAGGTCCATCTCGATCCGATCGATCCGATTCGATAGAGGTTTTGGACGGCTCGGTCCGAATAGGATTCCGTTGCTCCGACAATCCGATGCGACCCGGGGCTTGCACGGCGCTGTTGTGCATCCTGGCGCATCCGATCCGATTCGATTCCGGCTCCGCGCTGACGCGGTCCGATCCGACGCCGATTCCGGTTGGATCCGATTTCTCGATCCGATGCTGCCCAGTCTTGGGGGCGGAAAAGAGGGGGGTGATGACTAGGGGGGGGGTGGATATCATGGCGGGGGCCATGATACCTCTCCAGATTTCATGGCGCCTCTTCTTGTTTCAATACGTCCCCAGCCCCCCCCCTGGGCCGCGCAAATGCCGCCCGCCATGATCTGCGCGCCCCCCTCTTGGACGCCCCCCTCTTGGCCGCCCCCGACGGTCCTGCCCGAGGTGGGGGGCCTCCGCGTTTTCGTGCCGCGGCCAGAGCCACGACGGGCCGGTTTCGGCACTCCTCGGCGCCCCTTGGGGCCCTCGCGGGGCCCCCGGGGCCGCCAGAGGGCGGCTCGGGGCGGAAGACGAGCCCCAGGGGCAGGGGTCGAGGCCTTCGGGGAGCCTTGCTCTGAGCGGGTCTCAGCGACGGGGGTTCTTGGTGCTCCCGAGGATCGAGGAGGAGGAGGAGGGAGGAGGAAGGAGGAGGAAGGAGGAGGAGGGAGGAGGAAGGAGGAGGAGGGAGGAGGAAGGAGGAGGCGGAGGAGGGAGGAGGGAGGGGAGGAGGAGTAGGAGGAGGGAGGAGGAGGAGGAGGAGGAGGAGGAGGAGGAAGGCAGAGAGGAGGAGGAGGAGGAGGAGGAGGAGAGGAGGGAGGGAGGAGGTAGGAGGAGGAGGAGAGGAGGAGGAGGAGCGAGGAGGAGGAGGAGGAGGGAGAGGAGGAGAAACCCCAGGAAAGGAGGGAGGAGGAGGATGAGGTCGAGGAGGAGGAGGAGGAGGAGGACGAGGAGGAGGCGGAGGAGGAGGAGGAGGAGGAGGAGGAGGATGACTTTCTTTGATACGTGGCCGCTCCTGGCGCTGGGAGACACTAGAAGAGCCAGCCGCGTCATGCAGGTGATTTGCTAAGCAGGTGTACCCCTTTGCCATCCCCCCTGTCGTCGGCCTCGATCCTCTCGAGTGTCGAGGCGGCGGAGGGGTGACGATGAGGATCGAAAAGTCTTTGTTTCGGGCGGGGGGGGGCGTTTTGGTGGTTCAGGTACCTCTGGACGCCCAAACAAAGAATAATTGATCTGCGCGCCATCTTTTCAAGACACTGGAGGTCCCCGGTCACCCTCCTCAGAACCGACCCCCAGACTTGTCCGTGGGTACGTTCTGGTCAGGGCATGAGAGCTGGTCCAGCCGTGGCCATGGGGGCGCCCCAGGAGGCCGAAAGAGGCCCCCAATAAGTTCCTCGGACCTCAATCCTCCTCGATCCTCGACATTCGGTCCTCGAGTGTCCGCTCTTCCACGCCTCTGCTGTGTACGCCGTTCTCCAGCACACGCGTTCCTGAACTGCATGGTCTGAGCGTGCTCCTATCTTTCTGCGCGTCCCCCGTCTCCTCCCTCGCCCGAGATTCGATCGTCGATCCTCTTCGACCCTCCTGGATTCTCGATATTCGCTCCTCGGGTGTCCAATGCCCCTAATCACTCAGGTCTCTGCCGCCGGCCGCCCCCCCCCCTTCCCCTTTCTGCACCGCGCTGATGGCGATGGCCATGCTGCGGGCGCGGCGCCTGCGCCTGCCTTCTTCTTCTTCTTCTTCTTCTTCTTCTTTTTCTTCTTCTTCTTCCTCTTCTTCTTCTTCTTCTTCTTCTTCTTCTTCTTCCTCTTCTTCCTCTTTTTCCTCCTCCTTCTCCTCCCTCTTCCCTCCTCTTTCCTCCCTCCTCCCGCCTCCCTCCTCCCTCCTCCCTCCTCCCCCCTCCCTCCTCCCTCCTCCCTCCTCCCTCCTCCTCCTCCTCCACCTCCTCCTCCTCCTCCTCCTCCTCCTAGCCGCTGCAGCGGCCCAGACCACCCCCCTTTCCCGCGGCACTTTAGTACACTTCCTTACAAAGTCAGGTGTTTCAGCGGCATGGCTTCTCCCTCGAGGGGCTCTCCTCGCCCGTGAGAGAGGGGGTCGGGCCCCTCGCGCGAGGCGCTGGCTCCTCGCCGTGAGCGCCTTCGCCTTCCTGCAGCTGGGCGTGCTTGGCGCCCTGGTGATGGAGAGGACCCGCCCCCACGCTGAAGATGGCAACACATTCACACTTCGGACGTGCGTCTATAATCCCATGTTCCTGACGGGGGCTACGCGGGCATCGGAGGTCTCTGACGAATTCAAAAATATTGGAGCTATCATGCTGCCAGGTACCTCCCGTCGCCAGACAGAGGACACACACTCACTTTTCCTTCATCCTTATCACTGGGAACTGAGTTTCGGGTGGACGAGGGCCTCCAACAAGAGTTGCGGGGTGTCGATCTTCCTCCACCAGAGGCGCTTCCCGAGGAACTTCATTCGTAAGATTTTCACGCCGCCCAGTTTCTTAAGTGGACGTGGCGGAGCAGTACGTTTAAAATCACAGACCTCGGACGTTCTATTCATGGTGCTCTACTTCCCCACTCTTCCGTCGCTCCGCGGCGGACGTACACAGTATCGGAACGTCGTGCTGGGACTTTGCAACTGGGCGAAGTCGGTCATCAACGGAGTGGGCTCCAGGTGCACACCGTTTGTCGGCATCGATTTGAATGACCAACTGGGCTTCTGCGCAGACGACACGCTGGACGGCGAGTGCGTCACGGCCCCACGGGACACCAGTACACACGGAGCCGATTGGGACTGGGAACGGGAAGCCGACGCACACGTGGGCCCTTGTGGTGCTGAGTTGGAGCACTTCGCTGGCAAGCATTGGCACCAGGTTCTGAGGGACACGGCGCTGAGCGCGATCAACACGCACTACCCAGCTGGGCCAACGTTTCACGGGCCACTGGGACACACGTCGCGGATAGACTTTATCCACGCTCCGACGGGCTTGCTTCCTCACGTCCGAGTCTGCCGTGTTCTTCGACCTGCGGGGAGGCGGCTCCAGCCCGTGAATACCCTGGACGACAGGGACCACCGCCCCGTCTTCATGGAATGCAGCTACCGCTTCGAGGCCAGTTCTACCCAGAGGCAGTGCTGGGACTTCGATACCATGTTGCGCATCCTGCGCGGCGGTGAGGAGTGCACCTCTGCGGTGGAACGGGTCCACGAAGCCATCCTGACCATCCCTGAAGATGAATGGGTACGGCTTTGCTCACGGCCTACGACAGACGAGCTGTGGAACTCTATTTCGGTGCTGCTCAGGGAGGCGGCGCTGACGGAGTTTTTACGCCCTTCACCTTCGGCGGCTGAGAAGTCGGTTCTGGAGAAGCTGCGTTCGGAGGTCCTGGCACGTCGCCGACGGTTGCGTGAACTTCATATTGGCCGAGACTCGGAGGCACGTGCGGACGTCGAACTGGAACTGGCGAGGATCACGTTCAGGCTCAGGCAGCTGTCACGCCAGATCACCAAGGAACGCAACTCCCTGCTGGTCGGTGAGCTCAACTCCGCCTGGAGGGAGCATGACCACTTCGCCGTGCAGTCTCTGCTTCGGCGACTGGCCCGCAAGGGCAGAGGGCCCCGACAGCGGAAGTACTTCAAGGCACGAGAGGAGAACTGCGAACCACAGGACATCGCCGACTTCCTACGCTTGCCCGCTCCGCAGGGCGGACTCTCGGCGGTGGACTGCGACCTACAGGCGGAGCTGACGGAGCGCTTCGACCGCACCTACGAGGGGGACGAGGCTCACCGCACGGACCAGCAGCGCTACGACACGATGCAGATGGCAGATTTAGAGACGGCAGATCAGGACCTTTCGGGCGTCATCAGGGCGCTCCGCAGGGCACCGAAGAGACGAGCTACACCCGCGTGGAGTATGCCGTCGGAGCTCTGGCTGATCCTGATCGACCCCGACCAATGGCACAAGTTCAAACGTGGTGGAGTGGGTTCGTGCCCTACCCCTGCGACGGCACAGGCCTTCAGGGAAAGAATGCTCGACATCATCGGATCCTTTCGGCGGACTTCCTCCACCCCACTGGTCTTCGACATCTCTCACATCGTGGGCCTGGACAAGGGCAACGGCAAGCCAGGACCGCTCGGACAACGTTGGATACATCTCTTCTGCCCGATGGGCAAGGCGTGGAACGCCCATCTTTGGAATCGGGCTCGTCGCCACCGTGACCCACTTCCGTATTTTTGTCACGGCTTTGCTCGTCGCCGCCGGCGTGAAGACGCCATCGCGGTGCAGGACTGCTTGAGCTGGAGGCTCCAGAAGTTATCGCTATCACACGCCATCATCAATGAAGATGCCACGAACGCTTTCGCCAGTACGACACGAGAGACGATCTTGAATTGCCTCGAGTCCCTCTACCTCCCCGAGGACGTTAGGTTCCAGCACTCTCGCACGATGCAGACGGCGATGCAGATCATGGGACCCGACAGGCCCATCTCCCTCAGGCCTACCTCTGGAGAGCTCATGGGACACCCTAATCCTGCCAGAGGCTTCCCGTATTTCTATCTTCAGGGCCTGGAGGCTTTTCTGAGCTGGAGGGCGGGGACGAGCTCGTACACGTATTCACAGGCGGAGGAGGTGGACGGCACACGCACGGACACGGGCATCACACTGTACGCCGACGATATCACGAAGACGGTGATCCCAGGAAGAGGACCTGAACCCTTTGGAGGAGGAGGAGAGGCACGTCACCTTACCGCACTGGCACAGGTTAGCAGCAGTAAGTTAGCATCCTCCCTGGACGGCATCGGCGTGGGGCTCAACGAGGGCAAGCGAGTCACACTGGCTAGGCTTTTTGGGAAAGGCTGCATCGCCCAACGCCGCCTCCTGCATGAAGGCACTCTGCGTCTCTCTGGGCAGTTTGGCAGATTTATGCGCATCCTCGGCGGTTGGCTGACGGTGCAGGGATCGTTGCAGATTGAGAAAGGAAAAAGATTCCAGGCTGGACGGACTGGCCTCGGCATCATCTCTAACTTTCTTGTCCACGAGGCTGCCCGCGGCATCAAGCGCATGGCCATCCTTTCGTATGTGCAAGGTGCTCTCTTGTCGGGGATGGAGGGGAGGGTCCCAGATAAAAGTTTCACGGTCGAGGGTGACAAGATCATGATGAGGGCGATGCGTAGGGGTCTCGGGGTCAAGGGCACTGAGGACCACGACGGGGTGCGCTGGAAGTGGAGCTCTCATAGGGTATGGGCCTACTGGCAGATCCTTCCCTTGGCAGACGAACTGCGACTTCGGAGGCTACGCTGGTATCAGTCCTGGATTAAATACCCTAGCGCCCACAGGCAGGTTCGGGCATGCATACTAGGCACGATCAATGACATACCTAGCATGAACGACGACTGGACCATCCACGAAAAGGCTAACCCCTGGGCCCGTCAGGTACTTGAGGACCTCCAGTTTGCCAGAAGCCAGTCTGAGGAGTTCGCTGATTTAGTTCCAGAAGATTTTCCTCTCTTGGGTCTATTTTACACTAAGGAGTTCGACGACTGGGCCTCGATTGACCTCACAGTTATCAGGGCCACCTATTTTTCTAAAGCGATCGCACCACCTAGTGGGCCCTCGGTGGCCCCGAGTATCGTGATGGAGGAGGAGGTGGAGGAGGAGGTGGACGCCCCTGGCGAGTTCGTCTGCAATCTGAAGAACTCAGAGGGGCAGCGGTGTGGTGACACCTTCACCAGCATGAAAGCTCTTTTATTGCATGCAGGCAGAGTTCACAAAGTTCGAAACGAGGCAGCACTTCTCACGGTCACGAACCAGTGTTTCAGGTGCCTCCAGGTTCTCAGCACTCGGGAGAATGCTCAGCGACACGTTATGAGGTCTTATGCCCACAATCGCTGCGCTCTTGGACGCAGTAGCTACACGGCGGCAGAAGTTGTTCAACCTTTTTCACTCGAATGCCCCGTATGCAGCTTCACGGCTCAAGATCTCCGACAACTGCAAGTACACATACGCACACACTGTGCCCTGGGTGCTCCTACTCTCCCTCGGCCTCGACTTCGACCGCGGCATGTCGCAACCAGACGCGGAGTCCATGGACCTGGAGCTGCTGATCAAGAAGCACAAGCGCAAGGCAGGCGACGGCGAGGACCTCGGAGGAGCACCCTCGGGGAAAAAAAAAGGCCAACCTCGGGGACGCAGCAGACGAGGCAGAAGACGGTCTTCAGCAGGTCGAGGGGGCCCTTCGGGCTCGAGACATGCAGCAGGCCATATCGATTTTGCTCAAGATGGCGTGCATGCACGCGCAGCTGCTGAGGGACCTGGCGGCGTCGGAGTGGGTGTGCCTGGTCGTCCCGACGCTGAGCTTCCTGGTGGTCGCAGGGCGAGGAGCAGGCAAGATGTACGCGGAGGCGGCAGCCATCGCGGCAGCGAAGCCCCACCTGGGGCCACCACATTTGTACATAGCGCGCGGCGTGTTCAAGTCGATGGTCGATTCAGAGAAGCTGCAGAAGTTGGGGACTCAGGCGTACCAAACCCTGGTCCTTTTTTACGAGAAGTTCGTGTCGATCAGCTCGGCCGCGGAGCTAGGATTAGTGATCAGGCACTTCCGTTTGAAGAAGTGCTACAACGAGGAGTACACACGACTGCAGTTCGCGATCGGCGGGGACATCACGGTGCAGCTGGCGGACGCTCAAGGGGGCCCGCCCGAGCGTCATCTGAGCAAGCTGGAGGTGGAGCAGTCGATCATCAAGCTAGCCCAGCTGGAGGACGCGAAGCTCAAGCTCGGGACCGCCCCTCAGGGGCACTTGGAGACCATGGCGCAGCGCATCCTCGACAAGACGAAGCAAAAGAGCAAGGGCAAGGGCGCGAAGTAAGTCAGCCAGTTTCGGGCCCCGCCCCGTGGGGGGCTCGTCGGGCTGCCCTCTTTGCCCGCATCAGAGCACGGGAACTCTCGCAGAATGACATTGTATGACGGACGTGGACAGCACCTCCATATTCTGAGTTCACGAACTATCTTTCCGAAGGAGCGTTGTGTACCGGAGGATTTGAGGTTGGTGGACTCCCGCCGACTCGTGCTTCAAGTCTATGCGACGGAACCCCTCGTCTTACTTGACTGCTCACAGTTGGCTCAGATGGACACTTACTTTTTACAGATACTTGACATTACACACGGGCTGGTCCATACGTCCTCCTCGCACCCACGTACCTGATGCCGCCGCCCGACTTCGGCGTCTTCGCGCTCTCTCTCGTTCTTGGATGATGTTATGTGGTGTACTCGCGGCTTTGTGCGCACGCCCGTGCTGACCACCACCGAGTACCTGACTGCCACGTGACCTCGATGCCCGAGGCCCCGTTCCTCTAGGCCGCGCCGAGCGGGGGGCGCGGCGCGAGTGGGGACTGCCCGGCGTTGCGCCGTTAGTGACCCTCGCACCGTTGCTCCCCGCCCCCGCGCACGGCACTGTCCTCACTGTCTTTCTCGGAGTGGCTATCTTCCAGAATTCGGGGACCCACACTCCCCTCCGCTGCTTCCTCTGCTCTTCTCCTGCTTTGGCCTCGCCCTCTCGCCTCGTCGCCCTCTCTCCCGCGTCGTTCCCCTTTCGTCCGTCGCTTGCTGGAGTGTGGGTCCCTCCTCGGGGCGGGGCGGGTGCCTCGGAGGCCTGCCCGTCGCCCGCAGCGACGTGGGCTCGGCACTGGGAGGCCAGTGGGGTGTCCCCCCCAGCCCTCGAGGGGTCTCACGATTTGCGACTGCCTGGGTACGAGCACGTACGACAGGCTGCACGGCGCGCGCTACTCACGACCTCATCGCACTCGCTCGATGATCGTTCGAGGTAGGGCTCTGATTGCACGGGTTCACGCGCGGTCAGGGATCGGCACAGACCACGCGCAAGGCCGAGTCTTTCTTCTTCTTCTTCCTCCTCCTCCTCCTCCTCCTCCTCCTCCTCCTCCTCCTCCTCCTCCCCCTCCTCCTCCTCCTCCTTCTCCTCCTCCTCCTCCTCCTCCTCCTCCTCCTGGCTCAAGCAATTTGGGAACCAGGCCCCGTCGCATCTTGAGCGACTGAGACTCTGGACTGGAGAGGCCAGCGAGAGTCTTGCATTCAGCGGATGCCAAAGACCAAGGCATTCACGGTCTGCCATGGGTGTCAGGCCTGGGTGTGGCGGCTGTCCAAACAGGGGGGCTTTTGTCAGTGCGGGGGGTGGTTGGAGCCGTGCCAGCCGCCGCCGCCATGGAGCCGCAGTGGCCGGGGGAGCGGGGGCCCAGCAGGCCAAGTAGGCAGAGTTGTCAGGGGTGCTGGCTGCGCTCAAGGCCCTGCTGCCCGAGCAGGAGGCGGCCCAGGTCGGCCGCTTTGAGCAAGCTGCAGTTCCGCAGCCGACCTCCGTGTCACCCCACCAGCAGTACGCGCGTGCGCGCCAGGACGCGCTTGTCAACCGCCAGCTGATGGAGAAGCAGGCGAACTTGCTTGGCACAGCCAAAGCGAACCTGGAGAAGGCTCGCCAGCAGTACCACGAGGCGGTGGCGGCCTCGTACGACGTGGACGAGGCGGAGCACGAGGCCCTGCTGCGCTACAACAGGTCGGTGGGAGTCGCGGTCGCTGTAGAGGCGGGCGGGAAGAAGTTCGTCTTCGAGATCGACCTCGAGGACCTGTCGCAGAACATCGACGATTACGAGGAGCAAGGCCAGCAGGCCATCCGCGCGTTCAAGGCGGACGCGGAGAAGCTGGAGCAGGTGTAGCAGGCCAAGGAAAAGGATATGCATGACATCAAGCAGCGGGCTGCGGGCATGCGCAGCCTCTCGAAGAAGAGGAGGGTCGGCGGCAGCGGCGCTGAGGCCAGCGGCGGACACGGGCCGCCTGAGCCCCAGGCCGTCCCCGGCAGAGGCGCTGAGACGGTCTCGGGCCCGCCGCCCGCCGCCGCCGCGGGTGCAGCCGCTGCCGATCCTGCCGATCTCAAGGCGGCCGAGCGTGCAGAACAGCGCAGGGTCAACATCCAGAAAATGGCAGAGGCTCAGGAGGCGGCCGCCGACAAGGCCCAGCAGGCCAAGGCTGCTGGCGATACTGGGGCTGCTGCTGCTGCTGGCGCTGCGGCCGCTGGCTCTGGTGCGCCTCGCGGGGCCGCAGCGGGCAGCCGTGCCGGCCCCCGCGAGCCTCGCGGGTAGCCCCCCTCAGGAGGGGGCAGGGGAGGAGGAGGCCTGCGCGCTGGTGTTCGGCAGCGTCACGGAGTGGGGCAAGTCGACGCTCGGCTTCGCCAGGCAGTTGCCGCGCGAGGTGCAGGGCTTCCTCGCGGCCGAGACCCACGTGGTGGAGGCCGAGCTAGAGGCGGAGCGGCAGACGCTGCAGAATGCCACCCCAGCCATTCCGTCAAGGAGGGCGGAGATTGGCAGCCGTGGGGGAGAGTGGATCATGATGAGGTCCCACCTCGCGACGACGACGTTCGAGGGCAGGCGCGCTGCGGCCAGTGCTGCGGGCAAAGCGTCGCCGTTCGTCGGGTTCGCGCCGACGACGTTGCACCTGAAATCAGGCAACGTCGTGGTGGTGAGCGCCTATTTCTTCCCAGGTGTGCCGCTGGCGGCAGGGGGGAATTCGCCGCTCCTCAGGTCGCTCGCGATCTTCTTGCGCAGCATCGCTGACGCCTGGATGGTGTTGGCGGACTGGAGCGTGGTTCCCAGTGCGTTGGAGAAGACGACGTGGCCCGAGCTCGTGCGAGGCTCGGTGGTGATCCCGCAGGGGTGCACGATCACCTGCGACAGGGGCAAAGGCAGCATGATCGACGGCGGCGTGGTCTCCCTGGGCGCGGAACATTGCTTTCGCTTGGAGGCGTGCCGCCAGTTTCCGTGGAAGACGCGCGTCGGGTTGAAGCCCGGCATCTTGGGCGCGGCGCGCGCCTGGGACTACTTGCAGCTGGTCACGCCGCGCCCGTGGCCTGCGCGCCGCAGGCCCCCGATCGCCCCAGGCCCGGGCAGCGAGAGGTCGAGGGTGAAGAAGGAGGAGGCCGCCGCCATGCCGGGCGGGCGCTGGCGCGTCGCACGCAGCTCGGCGGCGCAGCAGCAGCAGGGGCAGGAGATCAGCCATGCCATCGAGCAGATGGCGCAGTCGGAGGATGATCTGCACCAGGGGGCGGCGGCGGAGGCAGCTTATGCCATCCCAGCTGGATGCTGGCATGCCGCTCAGCAGTTGGTGGCGCAGCAGCCGCTCCGCCTGGCGGCAGCTTCGCCTCAGGCAAGGGCGGCGCTCCGCACTGATGGCGAGGAGTGCGAGGCCCTCTCTGATTTGTATGCGCGCTGGGTCAGCGCGCTGGGGGGGGGGGCCAGACTCATGCGCGAGGGTTTACAGGGGAAGGCGGCAAAGGCCATGCGAGGTCGAGCCCGCGGAGTTCGATGCGCAGTGCAGCGCGCGAAGGCCGTGGCAGGCCGAGCCCGCTTTGCGGATCCAGTGGCGGGGTGGTGGGCGATAGTTGACGCGCTTGCAGCGCGCGCGCGCTCGCGCGCAACGGCTCCGACGCGCGCCAGCAGCGGCGGGGCGTGCAGTCCGTCATCGAGATGGCTCAGGGGGTGGGCCTGGGGCCGTGGCCAGGGGCTGGGAAGGGCCTCGAGTATTTCGGAAAGCAGCGCGTGCCTGAAGAGGTTGCCGACTGGCGGCAGCTGTTGGCAGGGCTGGTGCACGCGGGGGAGGCGGAGCTGGAGCTGTTCAGCATGCAGTCGTCGCGCTGGGCAGCGCGCGCAGCGGGGCGGGCTCAGGTCAAGGCGGGGCAGCAGCGCTCGCAGTGGGTCGGTGCCTCCTGGCGCTCCTCCTCGGGCCCGGTGCGCAGGCGCGCGAAAGGAGAGAGGCCAGCGCGGCTTGAGACCTTGCCGCCGGGCGGGGCCGTGGCGGGCCCCATGGGGCAGATGCAGCTTCGCGAGGGCCGCTGGTCGGCCGTCTGGACGTCGCGCAGCTTCGATGAGACGAAGTTGCGTGATTGGCCGGCGAGGAGGAGCTCCCGCCTCTCCACCTGCAGCAGGTGAGGCAGGCCCTCGTCAGCCTCTCCCCGAAGAAGGCCATGGGGGCCGACGCGCTGAGGAGTTCCGACGTGGCCAGGCTCCCCGACGAGGCGTGCAGCAGTGGGTGGATTTGCTGCGCGAGGTTGAGGCGGCGGTGATGTGGCCGCGCCAGGTCCTCACCACCATCCTGTCGCTACTGCCAACAAGCCGAGGCTGCGACCGCGCCATAGGTCTGTTGCCGCTGCTGGCGAAGTGCTGGTCATGCACCCGCGCGACAGTCACCGACGAGTGGTCGGGCGCGCTAGAACAGCATTGGGACATGGCAATCGGGGGCAGCAGTGCTCTGAGGGCCGCTCTCTGCCTGTCGGTCCTCGACGGGAGCGCGGTGGCCATGGGTTTCTGCGCGATCGCGGCGCTGGTGGACTTGGAGCGGTTCTTCGACAGCATCGACCTTATCGCTCTGCTGGAGGTCGCGGGGCAGGGGGCCTTTTCAGCGGTCGTCGTTTCGCTGGGGGCGCAGGCCTACTTGGCGCCGCGGCGGCTGAGGAGGCATGGCTGGTGCTCTGGCCAGATTTCGGCGGAGCGCTCGATCGTCGCGGGCAGCAGCCGCGGAGTGACGGTCGGCAAGCTTTTCCTGTGCCCGTTCTTGCAGCGGGTGGGCGCAGGGTCGCCGTGCGTCGAGTTGCAGACGTTCGTGGATGACGCAATCCTGGGGGCCGAGGGCCTGGAGCGGGTCGCAGCGGACCAGATGGTGGATGCCCTTGGGCAGTTTGGCATGTGCTGCAATGCCGCGCAGCTCACCATCTCTGATGAGTCCGTCGTCGTTGCCTCGGACATGGATGCAGCCCAGCAGGTGGTTGCGGGCGCAGGCGAGCCTGGCCTCCCGCTCAAGGCAGTCGGAAAGGCGGTGGGCCTAGTGGTCAGCACCGCGGTGAGCAAGAGGCGGGGCCAGAGCCAGTTCCAGAAGCGCGCCAAGACCGCGGCGAGGAGGCTGCACCTCACACACCGTATGCGGCGGAAGGCGCGGCTCGGGAAGTGCACCAGGATGCCCCGCAAGACGGGGGTGCAGCCAGCGCTGATCTACGGCCACCAGGTCTTCGGCGTGGCGCCGACGGCCTTGCTGAAGCTCCGGCGCCCAGCCAGCCGCGCGATGGCGGGCAGAGGCTTCGGCAGGTGCCTGGCCACTACGCTGGCGCTCGCCCTGGGCGAGGATGATGCAGGGCAAGCTCTGCCGCGGCAGATGCTCGGCGAGTGGATGTAGTTCTGGAGGCGCCATCCTGAGCATCGGCAGCGAGTGCAAAGGGCGCGGCGCCTGCTGCGCCGGGAGCTGACGGCGCTGCCGCTAACCAAGTGGTTGGGCAGAGTACGCTGGGCCATCTCGGCAGTCATCTGTGCGCTGCTCACTGCTGGCTGGGGCATGCCCTCGGCAAACACCTGGCATTCCGACGTCGGGGAGACGTGGCAGATGAGCGAGGACATGGAGGTTGATGATACGGAACTCTTGGGCGAGCTCGCGGCCAGCGTCAAGTGGGCCTGGTGGGCCAAGGCTGCGCGTCGCGATGCCAGGGCAGGGCTCGCCAACGGCGCAGACCTGCGCCGAGCGAAGCGGCGCCAGGCGAGGCTCCAGCGCGATGGGGAGTGCGGCGTCTGGGCCACGCAGCTTCAGGTGATGACGGGGGCGTCCTGGGCGAGGGTGCGGCGGGCGGAGGCTGGCTGTGAGGTGTCGGCCACCTGCCCACGTTGCGGCGCCGCCGACGAGACATTGCTGCATTTAGTGTGGCCGTGTCCGCGCATCGTGGGCCACGAGGACTACGGGGGCGCGAAGTCGTTGGCTGCCAGGGCTGTCGAGGGCGCTGCTGCGGTGCCCTGCCTTTGGCTGCGGGGCCCCCCGACCGTCGGATGGACTCGGTGCGAGTGCCCGGAGGGCGCGAACGAGTTCGAGCACGTGGTGGGCGATTGGGGGGATGCAGCCGAGCTGCGCAGAGGCGGCGATGGTTTCTTGGATGTTTTCGGCGACGGCTCGGGCGG